GGGTGGCAAGGCTCAGGTGCCTTGGGGTGGCAAGGCTCAGGTGCCTTGGGGTGGCAAGGCTCAGGTGCCTTGGGGTGGCAAGGCTCAGGTGCCTTGGGGTGGCAAGGCTCAGGTGCCTTGTGGTGGCAGGGCTCAGGCGCCTTAGGCTGGCAAGGCTCAGGTGCCTTGGGCTGGCTGGGCTCAGGCACCTTAGGCTGGCAGGGCTCTGGAGCCTTAGGCTGGCAGGGCTCTGGAACCTTGGGGTTGCAGGGCTCAGGAACATTGGGGTTGCAAGGCTCCTTGGTTTTGGGGGCACAAGGTTCCGAGGGTGGTGGCTGGCAAGGCTGTTTCACCTGATGCTGTTGCAGCTGAGGGGGTGCAGTGCATGGTTGCTTCTGCTGGTGGGAACTCATTTTTAGATAGCACTTGATCCTGGAAACAGAGAAGCTGACTTAGTAATTTTTTTGAAAGAGAAGGTAACTTCAAAGTCAAGCAAATTTCATTTCAGGCCCTTTTAAAGGAAAAACCCCTTTCCATGGTGACTTCCACACTTGAAAGAAAAACATGATGTCATAATTTCTGAACCTTTTCAAGAGAATAAGCCAAAGGGTGGTTTGCTCCAATCCATCTCAGTGGGTTCCTTTCTTACTCTCTCTCTCCCTGGTCACGTTATACACCTAACTGAAGATGTTCCAAGACAAGAGTGAAAAGAGCCAAGCAGAAAGACATATGCATATGAAATCTCACACAAAAACCTATGCCTTTAGACTAACCAAAAGCATTAATAATAAAAGAGAAAGCAATAAAATGTCTCAAAAAAAAAAAAAAAGCTGGTTTCTGAGAGGGTTGTGAATTCTCACCAGGACTTCTGGAAAACAACCTCTTTGTGAACTAAATCACAACATGACTTGCAGGGGCCCTGCATATCAACCCACACTTGTGTGGTTTTGCCTTTTCTATTCCATGCTCTCACAGTTTCCTATTGATTTTCCCATTTCCATGTCTGTTTCCTTCTTCCGTCATAGTTTACAGTACGTACCACCACAATGGGTGACCTTCGAGCCACACATCCCCCTGGACGTCCCCTTTCCACCATCACTTCTGGCGCTGGCACTGTCTATGCCTGGCATCTCAGTTCCTCATGTGTCACCTTCTCTGTCACACTACAGGTTGGTAAGCTCCATATGGACCAGAAAAAAATGTTTGGCAGGTCCACTTAACGTATTAAATGTATATATTGAGCTTCCTACCAGTGAGAAGTGCAGTGGCGCTGAAAGCTCTCTGGGCTGTGATCTTTGATGGACATCTCCAAGTGGACCCTTCCTTCCCCTCTCCTGATCTCTGATTCCACGGCTGTCTATCAAGGTGGCTGTCTGAACCATCTCCCTTCAGACCCCAACTGTGCTATGGTTTGAGCATGAAATTCTAATGTTCTCTAACTCTAGGTAGCACCCCACATCAACCCTGTCACAGACATTGACTTTGTACAGTTTCCCATAGTGAAAAATAGGCAAGAATTTCAAATCCGCTGCAAGTAGAGACTCACCTAATGCGCAAAGAAGAGCAGGCTCTCTGTTAAGCGTGGATCTTGTGTGAAGGCAATGGCCAGCTGGGCTTTTTATAAGAAGGGACATCTCCAGGAAACAGACTTGCCCTAGCTGCTCTGTTTTCATTTCTTACCAGTCACCCATGACTCACCCTCCTCTCCTAGTTCACCCTCTGACTCAGCTTTTGTGATGGAAACCACCCAGCTGGTGTAATGACACTGACAGTCTGACAATGATGTCACCTGGTTTCCCTGTCACCCTCCTCCTCAGGCCCAGGTGTCATGCTTCTGTTGGGAGAGGGTTAATGAGCTGGCCTGGAGGAGGTCTGAAGTGGTCCTGACACCTGCTGTCTTCGTTAAGAAGGCCAGCCCTTGTATTCTGTTTGGCAGACTACTGTGTGCATGCCAACAAGCGCAGGGGGGAGGAAAGTGGGAGCAGGGATAGGCGGGGCTGCGATACAGAGGTAATCAATTATAGACGCTGCAAACTGTGTGGATGGTTCAGAACTTGGTGTATATTCCTTACATCTCCCACCTCCACGGAACTGTACACATTACAACTATTAGCTTATCAACCCCCCAACCGCACCCCTTTCTGACTGGTCCCTAATCTGGGAAAACCTGATTTACTTCCTCACCACGCCTTCCCCCCTCTCCCCACAGCCTGGTTCTGAAATTTCAGCTGCTAAAGCTGATCAGTTTTCCAGGGTAGCCTTTCTTCCCACTCCACCCAGCCAGCTGCCTGTGGCTGCTTCCCCTTTCCTTGCCCTGTTGACGTCTTCCCCATACCTGAAAACCTGGAATCCTTGTAACCACCTTCATCTTAGGGCCAACAGCGGAGGTTTGAACGGCTCTGTGAGGAGCCAGAAAGAGGCCTGCCTTGTAGGGAGCCCCTACTGTAACCAAGATGAACCTGTGAAGTAAGAATAAGGCTGCTAGATACGTGCAAGGCTCTGCAGATAAAACAGATATTTCTAGATCTGTAAAAGCTCCGGAGGGCCATGAATTAGAATAGGGAGAAATAAGATACCCAAATAGCTCAGAGACTTTCTTAAGCCAGCAGCCCCAGTGGTTAAAAGCAATGTAGTGTCTCCCTCAAAGGGGTTCCACATTTGCCATAGAAAGTGCCTTCATCTGCAGAGAGCTCCTGTGACAGAAATAACTGACAGAAATGACACTCTGTTGATATTTGTTACATGAAGAAGAAGCACATATTATCACAAGAACAGCATGAGTTTGAACAGGCACAGAACTGGTCCTTGAGAGCCCTCAGGGGTACTGGTTCAAAGTGGGCAGGAAAATCCTATAGTCCATGAAGCTTCCAGTCAGTCAGAGTTTGAGAGAGGAAGGAAAGGACCATGATGCTAAACCAACAGTTTTGAGTTTATTTATTTATTTCGTATGAGCGTTTTGCCTGTGTGTATGTACATACATGAAATATATAAAGGGCCCATGGTGGTCAGAAGGTGGTAAATTCCAAGGCACTTGAGTTAGGGATGGTTATGAATGATCACATGGGTGCTGGAAACTAAACTCGAGTCTTCTGCAAGGACAGCAAATGTTCTTGATCATTGAGTCATCTCTCCAGCTCCTAAAAAGACTATTTTTAATTTAGTAGATTTTCCTTTGGAGGAGGTTTTAAGATAACATGGGGCGTGGCTAGGGTGAGACATGTCTGAACATGTGACACAGAGTGTGTTTTCTTCAGGCTGGCTATTTTCTGGGGATTTTCCCTGTCAAGAGACCTGTGTGTTCTAAGGGCATATGAAGAAGCATTCCCTTAGCCCTGGCACCAGCAATGTTTTCTGACCAACATAACATGAGACTGATGTCACTGACTCAGAACCACATTCCAAACACTATCTGTTAAAGGGTGTGACCTTTGGAGCATCTAAGTGATCTTAAAACACGTGTGTAGATGGTGCCTCTTCTTCATCCCACACTTCTCTTTCCTTCCCTCCACAAACAAACACCCAAGTGTTTTTAGAGCACTTGCTAGCCACACAGCTAGATCACCTCTTGTGAACTTGAGTCAAGATTATCCTTCTACTCTGTCCCAATAGCCAATGGCTCTCATTCATGGAGACATGCTGCCCAGTGTATTAGATCTGCGTAGTAGTTGGCAGTTGTAGAATTGAAACATGAATGAATGAACAAATGAAGGAAGGAAGGACATTTTTTTCTGAACAGAGTTTGAAGACTTCTTTAAATTCTTTTTCACTTTTATTTATCTTATTTTATGTGTATGAATGCTTTGCTAGCATATATGTATATACACCATGTATGTAACTGATGCCCACAGAGGTCAGAAGACTGTGTTGAATCCCTTGGAATGGGAGTCAAGTTGTGAGCCACCACATAGGTGCTAGGAACCAAACCCAGGTCCTCTGCAAGAGTAGCAAGTGCTCTTAATCCTTGAGCAATTGCTCCAGATGAGTCTTCTTCAACAGTGGCTAGGATGTCCCATTTAAGATAGCATCCCTTTGTGATGGATCTTCCAGGATGATCTGAGGAGAGGTTATGGGAATTCAGCAAAGCATATATGATGTTTCTGCTGCCTTCCCTTTCCCTCTACTCCACTGTTACCTAGTGTTATCACCAACCTGAACCTCTGTGGGCTGAGGCAGAGTCACCACCACACCTGAACCTCAAGCCTCTTTCTTCACTTCAGCCTGCTTTAGTTGGGTTTAGATCTGTTTCTCTCTTGACCTCTGTGATTGTGTTAGCTCCCTTACTCATTTTTACCCAACTTTCAGGTTTACCTTTTGTCAACTCTCTCAAATTATTAGGTAGTGACAATGGCTACATAATCTTTGCTTTATAAGAACAGGCTAAAGTCATTGTTAATCATCCCTTGACCTGAACATGCCCTGGCTAAAGAAACAGAGACAGGGAAACTATCCACTTCCCAGGAGTTCATAAAGATGAACTGTGCTGTGTTACAGTCCTTGACAACTATGTGCAGTGCTTTGGAAAGTCTTGCAAGATGCTTGCTCTGCCCAGGTCATGACCTGGCCAGAGATGGGATCCTCTGTGTGTGGATGATGAAAAGATATAGAGAACTACACAGAACATTGGAAGCTGAGATGGTTCAGGTTGATGTTCTCTTCCTCATAGCCTTCATCACCCCATGGACAGTTGAAGGACAAACACAAGGCTAAAAGTTTTCTGTAGAGAGTATCTGTCATTAAGCAACTGTGAGACCTCAGCGTGGCTTCCATAGCTACTGCTCCTTTCTCTCACTTGTGTGGTTGTGCTTGCTCATCAAGTTCCCACAGGGCACCCTCTGTAGACCACAAGTTTGAAATCCCGATTCTGCCTTACTAGCTATGTTTGTGAGGTTGGAGAGTTTCTGAGTAATAACTGTCACCATTATCTTGCCCTGAGACACACAACAGCAGTGTAAGAAACAGAATGGCAGCTGATGCAGGGAGTCTCTCGAGATGTTGGGAGCAATCAATCTGGTAGCAGACAAGGTGCAAACCCAGCACTGTGAGGCCGAGGCCCCAGAGATCTGTTTTATCTTACCTGTGTCTTAGGAATGATAACACCTGCCTTTGGAACTGTCATTACCTGAGATTACACATGCAAAGCAACTCTGGTGACTAGCTCTCTGCAGTGGACGGTAGATAGCAAGTGTATTTTTCTTAAGGGTTTGAACCACAGCTATTATTAGAAACCCATTTCCAATGACTCAGAAAATTCTTTCATTTTCTTCATTTTTGAAGAGGTCACTCATTTGTTGAACACATAGTTGCCGAATGACAGTCAAATGGCGATCCTGAGCTCCCAGCTTTGTGAAATCTGGTGGAGAACTGGGCAACATTCCGGGATGCAATTCCGGGATCTAAATCACATTATGGGAAGAGAATTTCCTACATGGGTCTAAGAGTAAGAATCTCTTAGGATGTTGTTAAGGGTGCAATTTTATTTTTACAATCACATTTTCTAACTTGGAACTAATATTAATGCTAATGAAAGAGTATTAGGAATTAATATTAATTCTAATGGGAGGAATAGCTAAGAGCAGGACCTATGGACTCATGTTTCTAAGATGTTTCTTGGATGATTTTCAGGATAAGACAATTTAGGCAACACCAGAGTGTACATGCAATGCATTTTTCTTCATGATTACAATTGACATTACCTGGTGTCTTTAATAAAAAAGTACATATCTGAGCTTCATCGTCTTTTTCTCTAGTCTTGCAAAATAACTACTCTAAAAGAAGTCTCAGCTTCTAGTATCTGAATCCAGTAGGTGAATCTCTGTACTGTTAAGTACTCCAAGTGGAAGAAGATGTGGATGGGTGCTAGGGTACCTGGGAAGATATTGATGCTGATGAGTCTAGGTGCTCTTGAGTGTGGGTGTTTGGCCTAAGGACACTGGGAGCCTTGTGACACAATTAAGTTCCATCTAAAGAAGGCTAAGCACTTCCACACACCCATCTTCCTCACTCTCCCTCCAGGGAACCATCAAAGGACAGGCTCAGGCTGGTTTAGCAGGTCTGGGCCTGGATCCAGTAGCCTAGGGCCAGGAGATGATCCTATGTCACCTTTAAAGATTCGATCATGCCCATGGTACAGAGAGTCTCTGCTCTGCTAAATGACCATTTGCCAGTCTCCAAGGACCATCTGGCTAGGACAAATTAAAACCTTTGAGAACCAGAGTAATAATAAAACAGAGTTTTCTGCTATTTAAAAAGGTAAATGTGTTCCTCACCTCTTAGATTCAATGATAGGTGCCTCAAATGTAACTGAAAAAAAAAAGCCAAATCAAGAGGAGAAAAAGAATACAATTTTTATTGATGTCAATATTTATACATTCATTAGAGCTTAATAGAAAGGAAGTGAGTCCTGGAGGAACTGATTAGATTCAAGATATAATTCTTAAACTAATAATGAAAGTTTTCTTGAGAGAAAAAACAAAACTAGATCAATAACAGTTCCTGACTTCAAAGTGTACTGCAAAGTTAGAGTCACCCATCAGTGTGGTGCTGATATTCGTGAGCCAATAAAATAGACTAGAGAGCTCAGAAGTCAGCACACACATTTATGGTCAAGTTGACAAAGGGGTTGAGATTGTACACAGGTGGAAGAACACAAGTAAATGACAGGCTCTTGAAAGAACAGTGTTGGAAAATAGAATAACTACATGTAGAAGAACAAAATCAACTCAAAGCCAATTAAAGAATTAAACACAAGGCCAAAATCCATTAAGAAACCAACAACAACAACAACAAAAGGAGGAAAGCCCATGATATTGGTCCTGGCAATGCACAGGTCACAATAACAGACAAATGGAATTTAACAAAACTAAATAATATCTACCAAACAAAGGAAGCCATCAACAAAGCTGAGACCATCTGCAGGATCTAAGGAAGTATTTCTTAAGTAGGAATTAATATGAGTTCATATTAAAATTTATAAAGAATTCAACTATACATCAAGAAAACACCACAATGTGAAACAGGTAAGAGAACTGAATAGATGCTTCTCAAAGGACTACATCTAAGTTGGGGTTAGGGTTAGGGTTAAGACAACAGACATATAAAAAGTACACCAGTAATCATCAAGAAAGTGCAAGTCAAAACCACTATCACCTTGTACCTGTTAGAATGGCTATTATCTTTCAAGCAAATGTAAGTGTTGATTAGGAGGTAAAGATAGAGAACCTTAACATAGTCTTGGGGAGAAAGTTACAAAGCCTTCTTGGGAAGCAGTGTATGGCTCAGTTAACTGGTGATGGGACATATTCATAAAATCAAATCCACAACTCTGGGTACACTTAGATACACAGATTTTATATTCTAAATGGGTAAATTATATAAATCATATTTCAATAAAGCTGTTTTTAAGTAGAATCAAAGTCAAAATGAAGGCAAAATCCTTTGATAGCTGGTTGGGTTTAAAGGGCTAACATGGTGGAAAGGGAAGGGAACATACGCCATCTTGCCTTTCTGTCCCCACTAAAAAAGGTTGCAAGGAGAATGGCAGGAGAATGGGAATTTGTGTCGCCTCACGAAGGAATTTCTATGAACTGCTTTTAGATCCATAAAGGTGGGGCAGAAAATCCTTTTGTGTCTATTGACTCTTAATTGCTCCTACAGCAGCGACCCTCACCTTCACGGTCTTTCCCCACTCTCCGTCTGTGTAATTTAAAGCATTTTCTGAAGCATCCTAAAGCTTAGTCAGAAATTCCTCATGGAATCTGGGCTTTTTCCACATTCTTGTTTATTTATCATTTCTGTGCTTTCCTTTTGCCCCAAACACTGTCCGCTGTCTATTAGGAAACTACCAGCTTCACCCCAGTGGGGTGGAGAGGGCGGAACCGAGGACAGGATCCACAAAAATGCAAAAGCCCCAAAGAATTCAAGGATCCACCTAAGTTTAAGGGAGGAGAAAGCATCCAACCCAACCTCTCCTTCTATAGTTTTATGGACTGAAGTTAATGCTCTCAGAGTCGCAGATCCAGTTAGGAGCAGAGCCAGAACCAGAATCTAAAGTTTCCTGTGTCTCAGTCCAGAGCTCCCTGATCTTAGAAACAGGAAGCCAAGGGGTTCCTGTCCAAAAGAGGAGGTGGCAGGGGATTTGAGGATGTCAGGTTTCTGGCAGATGGTAAGGTAGGGCTTTGTTTTGGTTCTGGGGTGGAGTGGATTTTCTGGGCATGTGGAATGGTAAGGAGGGACCATAGGAGAAGAGTGTGGTGGCCAGCACGGCCATGACATCACTCGGAAAAACAGAAATGCCAGTCTTACTGCTATGTGGATAGGGTTTGCGGGTGCTATGGAGGTGGGAAGTGCTGAACTCTGCTCAGAACAGTGAGAAAAATGTCTAAAATGGCATAGAAACGCTTTTTTTGACAGGGAAATGTATACAGATAATTCCTCTTCACAGGATGATGACATGAGTTTAGCTCTCAGGTAAAATGGCAGCAGCTCCCTCGGAAGTCCTTCTTCCAGTAATTTGACTTTGCAGTCCTAGAATGTGTGCTTTCAGTATCTGCTTCCTATCATGGCTGTGAGACTCGTCCCCACTGTGTGGGTCTTCCAATCTCACTGTTGTGTGGTATATATGATGTATTATATTGTGATTAATCTGGCCACACCTTTGCCAATGGAAACTTGGGGGATTTTCAGATGAGGTTATTAAAATGAATACTGCTACAAACACATGTGTTGGCAGCCATGTATGTTCCCTTCTTTTGTATCTAAAGAGTGAAGCTGCTGGGATGTGGATATACAGGCTCAGATTTGAGAATTCTTTGTGAGTTTATTAGAGTTCCTAGTTACACACAGCCTCACTGACCTCTGGTGTCATCTGCCTCTTGAAGTTGGTCTTTCAGTGCTGCCCCAACACCATTTCATTCTAATTTTCATAGCTTATTTCATAATTTAAGGATAATTAACACATGTTACAAAATAAACCCTTCCAGTGTGCAGACACGACACATCTCTTTGTTTCTTAGTTGTATTTTTTATGAATATCTTGTATCTTTCATTCAGCTTACTAAGCTCATTGACATCATTTTATGGGTATCTTTGCTCTTATTTGTGTTAAACAAGTGAAGACAAAACTAATCAAATCTTAAGTATGGTTTTCTTTTATTTCATGGATGTATGCATCATGTAACCTCTATCCATAGACTGTTGACTTTTCTAGAATCTCAAGAATTCTATCACATCTGGATTTCCAGGCTGGACTGTCCCCAACACAGCCACCATTTGGTTGTTAAAAGATTGTATCTTCTCCCAACATTTCATTTTGTAACTGTGGTAAAGTCCCTGGTCCTCTCCCATTCCCACTTCCATGCAGGCTCCAGCTTCCTTCTTTTCCTCTTCTATCTGTGCACAGATCTTCTTAAGGGACTTTCTGTGGAGGTATTTTGTATCCAGATGCAAGATGCGATCACTGTCAAAAGTCACTTTTTTTTTTTTTTTGGTTTTCTGAGACAGGGTTTCTCTGTACCTTTGGAGCTTGTCCTGGAACTAGCTACTGTAGACCAGGCTGGCCTCTGCCTGCTTCTGCCTCCTGAGTGCTGGGATTAAAGGTGTGCACCACCCCTGCCCAGCTAAAGTCAGTAAATTTGTTGAGTGGAAAAATCAGCAACTTGTTTGAAGACTCCCCAAAGCATCCAAAACACTCTGTTTCTTTGCCCCAGCTGGAGTCTTTCACAGTGGAAAGCCCAGACTTTTCCTTCTGTTCACACACACAACTCAGAAATCCTTCCACTGTAAAAAGGATTTTCCTCACCTTCCTGTGATTCCCTCTCACAGAGAGTCAAGACCCAAATGGGTGCAGCTGATCTAAATTCTGTCCGGATGTACATTCTCCTCACCCAGTTCCCTGGAGTGATGTAAGTTATTTGGTTGCTCTCAGGAGAAGTCCTACACTCTTGAATAGCTAATCACTTTTGCATTTTGGAACAATGAGATCAATAGGAACTTCGTGCTTTATGGGATCATAATTTAATAGGGTAATTATGTATATTGAACTAAATTTAAAGACAATAATGTTGTGCTTAATTATTGAATGATTTGGAACTGGAGTGAAGGTTTACTGGTTACAAACACTGTTGGCTTTGCCAAAAGACGCAGGTTTAGTTCCCAGCTCCCTCGTGGCAGCTCACAATCACCTGGAACTCCAGTTGCAATGGATCTTATGCCCTCTTTGGGCCTCTGCAGACACTGGACACAAGTGGTGCAGAGGCATACATGAGGCATAATACCCATACACATAAAATTAAAACAATCAAAATATTTAAGTAATTATATTTTCACCTAAAAATGTAAGCAAATATGGAGGGCAAACGTTCCCATAGCAAAAAGGAGAAAAATTTGAAAAACGCTGTAAATATTAAGATTTGGTGACTGTTAGAGGTTGGAGATGTATCGAGTGTATTTTGCATTATAAGATGAATACAAGCCGTTTGGGAGCCAGAGGAAGAATGGTACACTTTGGATATTAAATTTCCTCCAAAAAACTTACATCTTAAAGTCTTAGTCCCTGGCCAATGAATTCCAACTGAGAGGTGACTGGATCCTGAAATCTGTCACCTAATCAACTAATGAACAAATGGATTAAGTCATAATTAAAGGGTATTATTGGGAGGTAATAGGTATTTTCAGAAGTAGGACCTACTTACAGGAGAAGGTCATTGGGTCACTAGGGGAATGTGTGTTCTGTATCTTGTGGGGTATTCTCCCCTTGATCCAAGGATGCTTCTTGTCTTCTGTGTTCCATAGTCTCTTCCGTGAAACAGAGAACTATACTCTGTGGACCATGGAAAGGTGGAATAACACAAAAGCATTTTGTTAGGAAGGAATTGGATTCTCATACATTGTCAGATAGATGAGACTTTTTCCATGGGCACTGGTGTGGGGGGGGCAGGCATTAGTCTCTTCCTTCCCTACTAAGTTAACACAAATAACAGAATTTCAGTTGTTTCTGTCTGTCAAACAGTTAGAGTACTGCAATTCTGTCAGCCCCAGAACTCTACTGTCTGTGGAAGGGCTTGCCAGAACCTACCTATGGGGAACAGATAGGACATTAAAGACCCATTTTCCCACAGACTGCCCAAGACTTGAATGACAGCAAGCCACAAAGTCCTATTAAGAAGGACAAGTCTTTCTACTCACTAGGGGTTTTATGTTAGGGTTATGGGGGATGCAGAGCTTGGATTTCAGAAATTCTATCCAGGCTTATAAATACCCACACCCACTGTGTTTTTACAACACTGGCTAGCATCTGTTCCTGGCTAACATCTGTATTCACTATGTTTAGTATTTCACTTGGAAACATTCAGCCCTCAATAGTGATTTTAAGGGGAAGTGAAGGGAGTACTTAGCAATTTTATTTTCAAGCCAGTACATTCAGTGAAGAATTAACTTGTTATTGGCATCACTAATGACAGCGATCTAATTCCACATATATGAGCAGATATATACTCTTCTTGAGAAGAGTATAACTCAAAGGAGGAAAATTAATTACCTTAATTAAATTTTTGTATTTATTTTATATTCATGAGTGTCTTGCTTATATGTACATCTCTGTAGTGCAAGAATGCACAGTGCCTTTGAAGGCCAGAAGACAGTGTCATATCCCCCAGGACTGGAGTTATGTAGATGGTTGTGAGTTGCTGGGTGGGTGCTAGGATTTGAACCTGGGTCCTCTGAAAGAGCAGCTAGTACTCTTAATCACTGAACCATCTCTCTAGTCTCCACTTTATTCCTCTTCAATGTTCTGTTATTCAAGGACTTGTGTCTTTTTCTAGCTGTCAGTATTCAGCTTCTTTTTAATACAAGCAGCCTATATCAAAGCAAAGAAGTTAGGACATCAGCTATAAACGTGGGACCTCCTCCATAAGCTACATGAACTCAGGTGAACTCACCAAGCCAAGTACTTTGCACAAATTCTCTGTACATGGCCAGCCCAGGAGAAATACAACACACACACACACACACACACACACACACACTCATGTATGCACGCTCAAATCTTTCTTTGTAAGAAAACATCTCTGACTTCTCAAGAATAGACTTAGACTCAGGATAGGTTTTCTCATGATAGTCTGGAGATCCAGCATGGGCAAAGTGGAATATTAAGTTCATGATAAACTAATAAATGAGTGAGTGAATGAGCATGTATGAGTGAGTTCAAGAATAAAAGAATAGACAATAAACAAATCCATGCAAAAGTCCCTTGCAGCTGGCTGTACAATGCTTTGCTGCCCTCCCGTCACCTGCATCTGTTCTGTCTGCCCTTGCAGAATGACAACTTCTAAGCATGAAACCTCCATCTTCAGATGAGTTGAATTTCTAGTGAGAGCTAAAGGTTTTCTTTCCCTTTTGGCCTTCTCCAGATGGCGTTAGTGGGGAGTGAGGCTTATTTTCCTCACTCTTTGAGCTCAGATGTGTCAGGAGCTAGCCTCCCTTCATCTTTAGCCACCAGAAACAACTGTGCTCATGCCAGTGGCTTCCTAAACTCCAGGGGACATGTCCTCAGACACTCACCTCCTGAAACATGACGGTGAATGGAGAGCAGAAAGGGACCTGCAGCCCAGGACTCAGACACGATTGCTACGTGAAGCACATGTTTATTAGGGTAACTAGGCAACAGGCGTAGAGAGAGGTAAACAGAAATGAATGAGGCACCGGCTCTGAGTAGAGACCTAGAAGAAGCCTGCTACTCTGTTGTCGTGTGATACAGAATGGATGAGGCCCTCATTATGATCAATGAAGAGACTTGAAGATACTGAATTTTCTCTCATTTTCACTTGGGAGGCATCAGAATAGGATATAAATGAAGCCTTGAAGAAAAAAAAAAGAGCATATGTAACGAGTTGGATGAGGAGTCTTACAGTGCTGCTCCATTGGAAATAGGTAGAAAGAGGGGGAAATCTTGGAGCCAGTGGGGAAAGGAGGAGGAGGAAGACTAGGCTCCGTCTAGTAGCCTGGGTGGTAGGCAGGTGGTGGCTGCCAGTCCATCCTCACTTCTGTTTGCACTTAGGGTCTTGCTGGGTAGAAGGGCACTTCTGCTGAGCTGGACTCTTCGGCGGGCATTGTTTCTTAGCCTGAGGAGCACATGGATCCTTGGTTTTGGGCACACATGCCTCTTGACATTTGGTATGAGGTGGCTGACAGGGCTGCTTCACTTGCTGCTGCTGTGCTTGTGGTGTGCACTGCTGCTGCTGCTGATGGGAAGGCATGCTCCAGGAGAAGCTGAGTCTGCAGGAGATCCATTAAGACACAGTGAGAAGGGCCCCACATGTATCCTCCCATCTGTCTCTTCAAGGGGTATTTTCCACCAATAGTCAAAGATGATGAACAACCTCAGCTAATGAACTACTCACTTACCTATACTGTGGCATTCCTTTCTCACTGTCTTCTTTCTGTGCTACTCTGAGTTCCTATCTGCCTTCATCTTCCCATGGACTTTGGACTTAACTGAATTCATGATTGTTTTATCAGTCTAATTAAGAATTAGGCAGAATATTGAGTAGAAGATTAAAAAGAAGCTCAGACAGTTTATGAATTCAAAGTGTGGGTCTGGGTAATGCCTGTTGGCTAAGTTAGGTGAGCAGTGTCTGTTTCCGAGAACCGGTGTCATGGCATGTGATCAATGGGTCTGGAGAATGGGTGGACCACTAACAGAAAGCTCAGAGTTCTAGTCCTCGCTCAACATTACTATGCTAAGGAGAATCATAGGATATGGATGTCGGATAGAGGTTCCAGCCCTTCATGGAGAACAAGGGAACACATGGTTTCAATGCATGTTTTATCAGGAAGGATCTGATCTACCACTGATCAAATCTACCGCTGACTGGCCAGACATACTTCTGTGCCCTTTATAGATGCTATGTGCCTGGCAGGTCTCTGAGGCTTTCTGTCTCTGTCTTTCTTTGCAGGTAGAGTTCCTCCCATTGTACATTATAAATATAGGAATAGATCCTGGGAAGTAGAGCAGCGGGATAAGAGGAGTAAGACACAGAGTGTTATAGTCTGAAACAGAGCATTCAACACACCGTTCTGTAAGTCTGAGAGCAAAGCTTTATACTTGCTGGGGGTGCCAACCAGAAGATGAGAGCTTGAGCATGCTTTAGAGAAAACCCAGAGTTATTAAGAAATGCCATCGCTCTATGTGCACCCACTCCAGTGAGAAAATCAAATCTCTCCTGCTGAGTGGTCAAGCCTCAAATCAGGACATAAATCACACCTATCGATGGTGCAGAATGAAGATAGAGTTTCTTAGGTGATAATTACTGTGACTTTGCATAATTGTCATGAGGCTAAGTCACTTCTCTAGTTACTCAAGAGCAGGAGAGGAGCTTGGCCTAGCGGCTTGAGGCAGATCAAGAAGGAAAGAAGCCAGGAGAACAGAGGCATTCTTGCTTACCAGAGACTGTGAGCTGGACCCAAATGCAGGAGGCAGAGAGCAGATCCATGTGCAGCCACTCTCGAAACCCTTATAAGGGCCCCCAACCTGCCCCAGGCCCTTGGTGTGGCCCTGATAATCACCTCCCAGACAGTTTCTCACCCACTTCTCTCACCTGCACTTCCTACAGGGACTTGCTTTACTGGCCTGTTTTGATAAAAACCACCCACCTGACATTTCCAAAACTCTTGGTCTCTATAGCTGAGCTGACTTATCTCACTAAAGGTGCTGACTTGAACTGAAGGCTTCGAAACTTATTAAAAATATTTGTTTCCCATATATGTTTTGCTTGTGTATGTGTCTGTAAACCATGTGTGTACTGGTGATTGTGGCAATGGATTCCCTAGGACTGGAGTCACAGAGAGTTGCAAGCAATACGTGAGTGCTGGGAACAGAACCTGGGTCCTCTTGAAGAAGAGGCTGTGCCCTTTACTGAACCATCTCTCCAGCCCATGGGATTTAAGACCTAAAATCACAGCAAATGTGAGAAGCTGTGCTGCAGACTGGATGAGGAATACAGGAGGAGACAGACAAAACCATGAGCATCTTCTTTCTTGCTCAGTGCTGTCATTTGTAGAGCCTCGTCTTGCCTTGCCAAGAGATCATCATTATTTCATTTCAAGTCGTACTTCCGCTAGACAAATGTCATTGCCACTACTTTGCAGATAGAAACATTATTTGTGTATCAGGTGGCCAAGAAGGGATTTGAACTCAAATCTGAGTGACTCAAAGAACTTTGATTCTTATATGTTAGAGAGGGAGAGAAAGCTTAGACACAGGAGCTGTCAGTTCCCCCTTTGTTTCCCAATATCAGGTTCATGTGCTCCCTGATCCAGAGAGGCCATGTGTCCTGAGCCCTTCCTGGGAGCACACGCAGCAGATGATGGCAAGAGTCGCACTGAGGGTGCTGTTCCTCCTTTCCTCCCCACCACCCATCAGATGTGGCTGCTCATGGACATTAGTCATAGCCACAGAGGTAGGACTTGATCCTTATGGTAGGCTTGCCACACAAAATATAAGTCATAAACTCCAATTTCATGGTAGAGACTTCTAGTGGATGTCTCCAATGTTGTGTGGAACTGGAAATGTTTATATTAGGCATGCATTTAACTGGACAGTCTCTATTTCTTTTTGCTAAAGGCAGCCAGCAATCCTACTTAGGAACCTTCTCAGGTAGGAGAGACGAGCGCTGTTCCTGCACTTAGATCCTTGGACTTGGATGGAGGGAAGCAGGGTTTCTGTGGCTGTTACCATCCTAGCTCCAGGTACCCATCTCAAGCTTTGGATTACTTCTGAAGTCAAGTCCCTTGGTATTATTCCACTGCCCAGACAAAGTAAAGGTTGCCAGATGAGTGAGAGGCCTCCACAAGTACTTTCTTAAGTATCTCAAACCCCCTGGCTTCATTTAATCCTCAAGAAAATTCAGTTGTATCATGAAAATCTGATTTTACAGTTTGAAGAAACAGTCCCAAGGAAGTCAAATGATCTGCTCATCAGCTTCAGCCAGTAGGAGTGGAGCCAGGTGGGGGCTTGCGCAGGATTTATTTCCACTACATCACAGAAGCCAGCGTCTCGGCAGTGGACAAATGACTTCCCTTGGGTGGGGGCCGTGATTCATGAGCTTTTCTGAACGTAGCATCACATACAAACAGCTGCTGCTTCTAGCCCAACTTCATTTCGAAGTTAACCTTCCTTGAATTTATCCCTCCCGGCCAGGCCTTCACCTCCTCCTCACCAGCCATCAATGTTAAGAATGTGATATTCTGGGTTCTGGATTCCAGATACTGCATTCCATCTCTGGCCTCCTCACTCTATTCCTGACCTGCAGCCTCCGCTCCCCACCTGCAGCCTCTGCTTCCCACCTGCAGCCTCCGCTCCCCACCTGCAGTCTCTTCTCCCCACCTTCCCACTCTCTGTGCTCTTCTGGATGTAAACACTTTATGAGACATATCAGCAAGAAGCATTTGACAGTCATAGATCAAGGAATGCCTATAAACCTGGCACCTGCAAGCTATGACTGTTAGTTTGTGTACGTGTGTGTGTGTGTGTGTGTGTGTGTGTGTGTGTGTGTGCAGGCCCACATGCTTGTGCACATATACATGATCTCTATCCTCTTACATCATATTTGCCCACAGGGTTTTTCTAGAGTGGACTTTATTTTTCCATCCCATCCCTTGCCTCCTTATCAATAAACAAACTCAGTTTAATCTTACAGAATTCTGTCTAGTGATAGAAACTTGGCTTGTAACACAAGCATCATCTCAGAGGTTACCCAGGAGAGATGGGGGTCTAAATGTTATCACTTCAAAGGGACACGTCTGCTAGATTATACATATCCTAACCACAGTCCACCTCATATGCATTTAACATGTTACACCTTTCTAATCCTTGGCATTCAGCTTTGTTATTGGCCGGATTATCCCTATATTACAGAGAGGGAAACTGAGACTTAGAATGAAAGCCTGCCCTGCCCAAGGTCACACAAAGGTTGCATGAGAAAGCTGGGGCTCAATCACAGGTCTTCATCTATAAAATGTCTGAACCTCTGGAACCATCACAGCCTCTGCTGTTTTCTTTAAGGATAAATTAGGAAGCAGTTCTGGTGGTTCCCGCCTCTTCTTGCCCCATCTTCTTCTCTAGCACTCAGGAGCTCCGCTCACCAAGCCTGTCCTCCCTCCTTCCTCGAGGAGATCCTAACAAAGTCTTGCCCTAAACTGAAAGGTGTAGGTACATTTTATCAATCATTAAGAGTAAAGCACTTCTGTAACAAGTGCTCACACAAGTTTGAAGAAAGATAACTTTGTGTACTTTATAGATGAAAATTTTTTTCTCATGGTGGCTAGACCCTGAGTCCTTCCAGGAGAGAGGACCCAAGTCTTCAAAAGCTGCCATAGCTGGTTTCTAAACATCCTAACCTGCTGGGGCAGTGGATTATTTTCTCAAAGGAGGAGAGGAGACTTCCTGGCACCCCTCAAATCACCCCGTATAATCAAAACCCTCTAGGCAGGGCAAGCCCTGAGAAGCAATGTCAACCCTTCCTCCCCAGCTCCACTCCTACTGGCCCAGCCTAACCATGGGACTGTCACCTGGCCCATCCCGAGTCTCACACCTGCCTTCTCATCTTCTAAGTGCCGTGCAT